TCGTTATCAATCAAATAATCCATCCCTCTGGCTCTGGTGTTGTATAGTATACTTCAGAGTTCAGTGATGGTTATAAGGAACACACTCTTAGTTTTGGGACTGGAAACCTTAGGGCGAGGCTCAGAGGATCTGGAAAATTCTTATTGGAGATTGCCATATCAGTTATGGACGTTAAAACGTATGAGTTGTGTGTTGATGCTGCAATCACTGGCATAATGACTCCTCCTTTAGTGGAACTCCAGGTGATTCCTTAAATAATTACCCTGCCACTTGAAAATTTGTTGGAAGGTGCAACTCTTTATAGGCACAAAAAGGGCAAAAACCAGCAACCCAACTATATATAGTCTTAGGTGAGTTTCTACAGTGTCTGTTATTTGTGCCCCTTCTAAGCATAACAGTGGATGGAATGGTCAGTAATAATTTTTGTAATTTTCTTTTCTTTTCCACAGCAGAAGCTTCAGGCAGTTGTCTTTCATCCTCCAAGATAATTTTCCTGCTTCCTTTCTCTGATTTTTATTTTTATGTGAATTAGTTTTAATGGTGTGTTTTATGGCAAACAAATGATTTTTCTCATTTTTTCTTTTCTCTTAAATGAATTTAATTTAAGCTCGTTGGTATTAATGAGCTTATATATTATATAGTTTTATTCCTAAGCTTTCATTTAAATTCTGAATTGTATATACTCTATTAATATATATTTTTGCTTATTGTGGGGTATATTCTACATGTATCCTACAATTAAGACTCCATGGAAGGTGAAACTAAGAGAGAGATGATCCAAACACACATCCTCAGAGGAGGTTTCTCTTATCATGGCTGAAGTACTTGCTTTTTCTGTTGACTCTGATATTCAAGTACCTAATTTGCTGCCAAAGCCAAAGAGTTATTGTTGAAACGTGAAAAAGCATCTTCACCTGCTGTCATTAATATAGTATTATCTTGATGAATTTTATCTTTTCATCCCTTCTAGTGATGTCGAGTTTGTTTCAACAAAGGTAGTCTCAAGAAACTTGTCTCATTTTTGGGACCAGAAACCCAACAAGAGGGGCTCAAGACAATCCAAAGAATTTTTATAGGAGATGTTCGTATTAGTTATGGAATGTCAATGAGTATGGATCTGTATTGATGCAACAATTACTGGTATAAATGCCTCCTCCATTGATGTAACTCCAGGTGATTCCTTATGTAACTTGCTGTAATTAGTTCACAAATGGTTTGTATAGGAGTTCTTCTAATGGCCAAAGGTTCATGAGTAGCTATTTGCTACATGCTTTCTAGAAAACAGTTTAAACATAAAAGAGTTCTTTTCCTTGTTTCATTTTGCATTTCTTCCTACTTGTTTGTAGTTCATTTCTAGTAACCTTTTGAAGTTATTCTGTTATTTGAATCCAGCTGCTTCTATATTGTTGGGCAGTCGACGTTGATAGTCACTATTTGCGATGATGCAGTAATCTCAGCTTTCAGCTTTTTAGGTCAATCTACAATATGATGTGCAGCTCATTTCATAATAGATTGTAACAAATATTGATTCTTTTGTGGAACTTCCATTTTTATTTAGTCATTTTCTTTTATGGTGGTGTCTCATTAACTATATTTTTATCGGCAAAAATCTAATTAACTAAATTTAGTCTCATTTGGTTAGATTTTTAGAAGATAGATGCAGCTCCTTGGTGGGAGTCATTCTGTCAAAACTTGTGCCTGCTACATTTTCTTCTATTGCTTCTTCTTCTAAAATGAATGGAAGAAGGAATGTTGCTGAGTTTGTTCAGTTTGGCAGAGTGAATTGAAGACAGGGAGGAAGGTTTATCGACAACATGTATGCGCTACCAACAGATCTCAATTGTTTTTGACCTAGTGAAATCTCAACTTTGCCCTCAAATCTCGCTTCCAATTGCCTCCCAATGGAGGGCTTTTCGACTTTTCACTACCACCCACTTACTAAAAAATTCCAATTTCACGGTTGACTCCCAATTGATTCCGATTTCTTAAATGTCGAGTTTGCCCTCCCAATTTTCAATTGATATTGGTTTTTCAGACTTTTCCTGACCCAGAAACAAAACTTCCTAATTCTTCACTCTAAAGCGGCTGAAACATTTATATAC